TTTTCAGTGACAAAATCTTTTACGCGTGTTTTTACCTTTTGTACGAACTTTATATATTTTAAATATTTTAGGTTTGTACATTTATTTCAAACTGATAACATTTATTTACATATTTCAGCATTTTCTTTGAGAAACATGTTTTCTGTCTGTCGGTTAGACATTAGAATGTTCTTTCTAAAATGTGTAAAATGCCTGAATAGTTGAAGCTCTTTTTGATGTATGTGGAAAAAGAAAAGCTTGTTTGAATTTAATGCAATCCAAGTGATGGGTGCTGATTTAACATGAAAGCTGCTGCTATAATCTCTTCTCTGTAAGTTCAGTTCTGTCTGTAGGCTACCACTTGTCGTGAAGATAAATAGATCGTACAGCTACTTCCCAGAATTTGAATTCCTTCTCAGAATGTTAATTTTACGTTAACGAGAGAACCGAATGTACGATTATCGTTTTATTTGAAAAAGTAGCGTAACGGAAAACAAAGACGCACTAAATGTCCACTACTGATTTTAAAGGGTAGCCTACATTTGGACTAAAATTGTGCATATTTGTCTTTTTTAAGTGGAATGTAATATTTTAGTCTGATTTTTTTTTTCTCGCATTCAGCAGTGTACTGTCTAAACAAAAAGTCCATTTTAATTTGAATGTATTTTGTTGTTTTTGTCACACGATGGGCAAATATGACACGACAGAATGATACCCGTTTCCACCATAGATATGGACTTAAAAAAATATAAATAATAAAGGTAATTGTGACTTTTCATCCCACAGTTCTGACTTTTTTTCTTTAAATTCTGATATATACTCAGAATTGTGAGGGAAAAGTTTTGTGAGATAAACGCAGAATTGAGAGATGTAAACTCGGAAATGTGAGAAATAAAATCATAATTGTGAGATAAGCTCGGATTAATTCTTGAGATAAATTCTTTTTTTTTTCTCTCAGAATTGCACATTTATGTCACAACTCTGAGTTTATCTTGCAATTCTGAGGAAAAAAGTAAAAAAAAATTCTAAAAAAACTAAACAAAAATTAATTGTGAGATAAAAGATTGCAATTACCTTCTGTTATTGTTTTTATTTTTATTCAGTCACGGAAATGGGCTCCCATAGTAATGATTTATGGGCTCAAAACAAGAATAATTGTAGACAAATGTTCACTTTTTACCTTAAGATTGTAAGAGACTGTAGTTCATTATACTTGAAGTACCTTTTTTTTTTTTTAAAGCAGTTTATTCATAATTGTTCAAATCCACAGAAATTCCAACATAAGGACCCACTTTATATTAAGTGTCTGTAATACCAGCCTATTATAACATTTAACACTTATTGTTTTTTTTTTAAGTTTTGCTTTTATTAAAAAAAATACCTGCATGTTATTACATCTGTATTTTTTTATTTTTTTGTAATTACATTCACTTTATAATTACACTGTAGTCCCTAACCCATCTCCCACCTCAATAGCAGCAAAAGTGTTTTGCAATACACCATGAACACAATTGTACATTGTACCAAACAATTATTTTTCTGCTAGAAGTACTTAAAGTTAAAGATGCCTAATATAAAGTGGGACCCAACATAGTATTTAGCTGCATTATATACACGAAAAGTTAGCTATTAAATTTTTGTTACTTGGCCATGTCTGGGCTTCAAATTTCTTATCTATGTATACAGTACATTTTCATTCCTTTATGTGGTGTTTTGTGGAGTTTGCACACTTACTGTAAAAGGCCGAGTGTGTTTGTCTTGCATGTGATCTGAGTGTGAGTGCTTTTAATATTCATTTGCTATACTATCAAGACATGTTGACCCCATCTACAAGCACCTAGTTTCAGTGAAGACCAGTCTTGGTTAAGTTTGTGCTTCTCAATATTTAACATTGTTATACAGCTTATTGAAGCCTCCAGCATGTAAAGGCTTCAGGTGACACTATGAAGGGGTGAAAAGCACAAAAGCTAAAAGAGTAGTTCTTTAAAGTATAGCATGTTTTTGCTTTTTAATTAAAAATGTATCTGTTGTGTTTGCTTGTCAAAATTAGACTAGAACCCAATCCACGATCAACCTATTTTTCAATAGGATGTAGATTGATTCATGATAATATAGGAAATATTCTAGCTCATATGCAAAATTCAGTGCACAAGCATTGATTACACATTGTATATTTGTATAGATGTATAGCCGCTTGTCAATTGTCTTTCCATCAAATGTCATTTAGGCTTGACTTTCTTCCTGGAGGAAGAGTCTTTGCTTCTAAGTAGCATTGAACAGTGCATTCAGCAACAAGCCAAACCTGTGAATAAATGATTCCTCAAGCAGAAACCTGTGTCAATTCACTGAGAATGATAATGTATAGAAGGAGATTTTCATTGTTATGCATGTTTCCTTCAGCCACAATAGAGCTATTCACACTTGAAATAGTTAACCCTTGAAAATTCTAAACCACGTTTCACACTGCTCATATTTTACCCGGGGTTAAAATGTTAACTGACGTTTCAGACTGAACATTCCTACGGTTAGGTTATAATTTGCATATTTTCGGTGTCTGTCATTGATTGGACGAACGCAGCACGCGACCTGGAATTATGGAAGGCGGACTAATGTTTGTACTGAGTGGACTAAGTTATACATTTTAGCGTAAAAAAGGTCTATTCGTCCCTCAATTCACGCTTTTCGGTCACCAAACGACTGTTTATACAAGGCGCGATGTTTCCGTGACTGTCCAAAGAACCAGTCGTGAAATTTTAACCACATTGACCCGGAGCAGTTTCATCAGGTAAAAAGCGGTGCTAACCCCGATTTAAATGATAAGGATGAAACGTTCCTTTACCCAGGGTTAAAAGCAGGGTTTAGAACGTCGAAACCCGGGATTAAGTGAATTTAATTGAAGGAACGTAAAAGAAAGAACTGAAAGTGTTGTTGTTCTCAAATGCACATGTATTTTGGACCACAAAACCAGTCACAAGGGTCGATTTTTTTAAATTGAGATTTATACATCATCTGAAAGCCAAATAAATAAGCTTTCCATTGATGTAGGTTTGTTAGGATAACACAATATTTGGCTGAGAGGCAACTATTTGAAAATCTGGAATCTGACGGTGCACAAAAAAAAAAAAA